GCGCAGAGAGTCAGGGAGGCGGGTGACGATGTGGTAGAGAGTGAGCCAGAGCGGGGGGGGTTCCTAGCAAGGAACTCATCGGGCATAGCAGCGCGGAATTGAGCCTCACTAGTCTTGAGGTGGGTGATGAGGTCAGCAACTGTGTGAAAGGAGGCCAGGTCGGGGAACAGGTAGGGGAGGGAGAGGCGGCCTAGTGCGGCAGAAGCAGGTGAGGAGTAGCGAGCAACGACAGCAGTGTACAGTTCCTTAGCAGTCTTGTGCTGGCCAAAGTGCTCGCGCTCATCTATCGGCAGGGAGTTGCGAATAGCAAAGCGAGCGTGGGCGTCACGAGTCTGCCACTGTGAGCGGGCAGTGCTGTCAGCAGAAGTATCAGGGGCAGTAGCATGGCCTAGGGCGTGATCGTACAGTGAAATGTCCTCCTTGGCAGTGAGCTGTAGGAAGAGGTGCAGGTCATCGAGCCAGGTGTCGAACTTCACTGGGCGGCCCTCGGCATCGAAAGCAAGTACGGGAGGACTAGCCATAGTGGCAGCAGCAGTAGCAGTAGCAGCAGTAGCGGTAGCAGTAGTAGCAGCAGTAGCAGCGGGGCCGCTAAGAGGCGGTGTGTGGGGTCGACGGGGCCAGCGGGGCCTCTATGCGGGGCGCGCGCGGGGACAGCGGGGCCGGCGGGGCCTCTAAGCGGAGCGCAAGCGGGGTCGACGGGGCCGGCGGGGCCTCTAGGCGGGGCGCGAGCGAGGTCGACGGGTCAGCGGGGCCGCTAGGCGGGGCGCGAGCGAGATCGACGGGGCCGGCGGGGGGCTCTAGACGGGGTGCGCACGGGGTCGACGGGGCCGGCGGGGCCTCTAGGCGGGGCGCGCGCGGGATCGACGGGGCCAGCGGGGCCTCTAAGCGGGGCGCGCGCGCTGTCGACGGGGCCAGCGGGGCCTTAAGCGGGGCGCGCGCGCGATCGACGAGGCCAGCGGGGCCGAAAAAAAAAAGAAGCGCGCGAGGGCGCTGGGGGGAGGCGCTAAGGCGCGCTCCGACAGTAGGGCGCACGAGGGCGCTAGTAGAGAGTAAGTAGCGGTGGGCCCGAAGGAAAATTAGGTCCTAGCGAAGGACCTGCTCTGATACCATGTCAGAATAACTGAGCAGGAATGAATGAACTAGCAGTGAGTTTGGTACAAATATGAAACCCTAGAATTGTGACCCCCCTACAGGCTAACCCACTATAGCCTACACAAATATAACATGTATAATGTTTGACAAGACACACCGCGGCAGGGATTCCTAGGACCCCCGGTGTTTAAACGCACACCTCGGGAAATTCTTCAGAAAAGGGGAGCGTGGGAGTAGTCGTAGCTTCGGAGATTTTGCGGCCGGCGACGATGGGTAAAACATTTGCAAGCCAGTGGGAGAAATATGTTATTTTGTTGAACACCATCGGCGGAAGCAGCTTCGACGACAGAGTCAACGGCGTTTATGCCACTAGGACCCGTGAAAGTCAGTCCCAGAGTAACCTAGGTCTAGTCCCAGGTTCCAGATTATGCCCTCAGATAGGTTCTGGTGAACTGACGGAAACCGCTGGTGACAAGGTGGGCGGCTACAACACGTCCGACGATTTCGGAGGAGAACTGCACCTGCATTCGCGGATTTACGGGGTTGTTTTCGAACGAAATTTACGGAGTTTTTACGCGGACTTACCGGTTTACGTCGGGAAAGCGACGACAGTTTTGGAGGAGTATGCAACGTTTAGTTAAAAGCACGCGACAACGACGTGAGGCAACACTGTGGGAACTACAAGGACTTTTTCAGGGGTATGAACGACTTATGACGAACTGGAGGAGGCTACCGCAACAGTTCGGGTGGGGGGGGGGGGGGGGGGGGGGGGGAGGGGGGGGAGGGACAGCCGTATTTTTTTATCTCTGCTCAAGTGCATCGACTAATTACGAAAAAACTTCTCGGCGAGTCTGGACAAAACCGCCGGGAGTGCTGACATCATCTGACACTGAATCGACGTTCGACAATATTTCCAGGGTGACATTCGATTTGGTTAATGCTTAGACGACCATCGCGGACTCTCGATAATCAACTTTGCTGCCAATCGCCTTCGATAGTCGATCTTAACGACACTCGTAACACTCCCGATTTTACGGCCAGAGTATTTCGGGATACACCTGCTCCATCTCTACTAACGATAACACGCCCCATTCGACCCACCCACGACAATAACATTTAATTTGACCACGTCAGGTGCTGCTAGCTGCAGTTGCAGAAAGTACCACCGAAATTTTTGGTGGTGTAACAAAAAAAATTGGACAGTTCGAGTAACGCAGATTTCTCGTTGCGGTTTTTGGGGTACGACTTTGGGTTCACCTTGAAGATTTTACGGGCACGTGACACCTGGTTTCGCCATCGGTTTTCCACACCGACGCATTTTCACCTGGATACCACCACTCCACGCTTTTCTCAGTGCGACCTAACACCTGGCTTCTGTTGGTTTTCATCTCGGCGCAGTTGTGAATGTTTTACGGTGCATTATCTTGGAGGGGAGGAGAAAGTGCGTTGCACTGTTTTCTTCCCTTGCCGTTTTCTCGGGCTTGTTCTCGACTTTGTCAGGATGCGTCAGCACGACGGACGATCGCGATCACACCGACAAGATCAACGGTCTCTGCTACATCGCGATTGAATTTCGTGTCAGCAGCTTCCCTCCAAAATCGCATCTGCTTCGACCGTCAGATCCACACAATCGCATCTATGGCCCACATTCCAACTTTCAACCTCATTTGGGCCAGTTCATCCGCGACCGTCAGATCAAATTCGAATTTGATCGATGGTCTACATTCCAACCTTCACTTCATTTTGACAAGGGCCTTTCGCAACCGTCAGATTGAAATCTGACATCATCAACGGCCCAATTTCAACCTTTTCTTCAAATTTGCACGAGGCATTGCTTCTAGTGTGGGATTCTTTTAAGTACAAGACGACCTTATTTGGAAGGTGGGAGAGTGTAAGGAATTGTAATTTCTTAATGTACAAGCACTTTAGCAAGTACATCCCAAGGGTCACGCAAAGAACCCGTTCGGCCTATTTCGTCGCACCGAACCACTCCCGAGTCGCCTCCGCACCAATCGCAACATCAACGAGCCATCTTCGCCGGACCCCTCCGCGTAGCTAGTATTTCCCCAATTTAGTCTTGACACCGGCATCACCCGGATATAAGACAGTGTTGAATAGAAGACAAGGGGTGTCTATTATCAGGGTGTCTCTTATAAACGGGGTAGCCTCATTATAAGACACCTATTTGTGTGTACGAGATAAGACAGTGTAGGGGTTTGGGGTAATCGTACAACGAGGGGGTATTTTCTAAACGGTTCTTTGTCCATTTATAAGACTTATAAGACACCCTAAACCGTCCCAAATACAAGACAACCCAAGCATTTTTGCCCGTGTACGAGATAAGACATATATGTCTTATATCCGGGCGATAGCGGCACTTTCCTTGTACCGAAATCTCCCGCATAGTACACCCTAGGGTGTACTGATAAATACCCATCTTCAGGGGGATGTTTAATTATGGGGGGGATGTAAGCCTGCATCCATGGGTGTTACGTAGTGACATTATTTTAACTTAGAAATCACATGTTTTCTGTTCTGAACTGACATTCAATTATCGAAATGAACTGAAAGAGACTTTGCATTGCGCGTGGTGTGTGAGCCACGTCATACAGGCTCTAGCAGGCCTCTCGCACGCACAAAAAACCATCGAAGGCAGCCCCCCAGCCTTTCGTGAAAGCCTTTCAGAGCGACGCGCCGCTCCTGATAGGGTATTTCGTTAGAAACAGCCTCTCATTTTACGTTTAAATCAGGTGGCGGGTGTACTCAAAATTTCAAAGAAAATGGGGGGTGTTATAACTGGTGTATTTATTGTTACGAATAGTAATGAATGAAGAATACAGTACACTCCCGACCGCAGCTAAGGAGGCAGTATCGAGAACGAATGCGAAGAGTCAGAATTGACTCGAAGCGTCAGACGGTTAGGATGCATCTGGACCGTCGGAGCAAACGGCATCGGGCAGCTGCAGGCAGGATGGTTTTGGCGGGAACAGTTTCGTAACTGTACGCGCCGCTCGGATGGGAATGAATTTGAATAAGGGAATGTACCCCTTAGAGTACATGGCTAGTTAGGTCGTTTCGTATTTACCTGTACTCATATTTATATCGTTGTATTTGCATGTTTTAATCATCTCAAGCATTCTACATTTACTGTGCTATTGAGGTCAAGGGCCCACCAACACTATCTACCTGCGTGCGAACCTTCCCGAGTAGATCCTGGCAGCGATCAACCTCTGATCGTAGCATTTATGAGTACACCAACCGTAATTGAACACCCATGGGTGTTTAATCTTGAGGGGTGTAATATGCGGGGGGATTACGATATCGTCATTCAGTATTCAACCATTATCGTTATTCGTTATGCTGCGCACTCTGCAAGTTCATTCATAACAGGCGTCATCTATAAATTTACAATATTGCGTGGTCAAGTTAGGGGCACAAAACACAAGTCTTACAAGGGGATGCAGCTGATGTGCTGCAAGCCCCTTGTCAATTTGTAGTAGTTATTAAGTACAATCTTTGTTACAACTCAGAAAACACAAGGCTTAGCGGATCGCTTCGTTACAAAGAGTCAAACACCTGTCGCGATTCTGCCATCAGTTCGCGAATCAGGTCGCCCATCAATACCCCTCCCTCCCCGCACCAACCCAAACCCCTCAAGTCACAGCATTCTTGGGGCACAAGTGTCTCGAGCTTTCGTTTGAGTCGCCGGCCTGTTTAGTTTGTATGTGCAGAACAGCTCCTTTAGTTTGGTGGGGTCAGGTCGGCTCACGGGGTAGGTAAGGCAGGCCGTGCCGTTCGTCTATCCAGTGCTTGCGTCAACAAGCGGTAGTTGGAGCAGAGGGAGTCAGCGGACTTGAGGACGCCGTGCTTGTCGAACTCGCCGCTCGCACGTCCTCATTCAGGCCATAATGGTTAGTTGCTAACCCTATCCCGACCGGTCGTGCGTGCCCATCAATTTTATATCCTAATGTTGATCTAGGTGGCAAGTTTGCCGGTTTTGTTTCTATTCTCTTGGTTACTTTCTAACCTTAACTAATTACTCGGCATACGACCCCTCGCGATCTCATCTGTCTCTGTGTCCGTACCTGATCGTCTTCTTTCGTTCTGTTTGTACCGGATTGTCTTCGTTTCCCTCGTTTGTCGCAGGGTCGGAAGCTCCTGTGCATTCTGCTGATCGCGATTCTTGTCGCCGCGAGTTTCCACGTCTCCGAATGCAAGAAGAAGAAGAAAAAGCGGACGGCGGCGACGGACACAGCACTTGACGAAAGCGAAACCGCCACAGTGGTAACCCGATCCGCGACGAAAACGGCTGCTGCAGCAGCAGATGAATCAGCGTCGCAGAATGACGAACCAGCTGCGGACGCGGCTCCAGCCGATGAAGACGCAGACGCAGACGCGCCTTCGGAAACTATTTCCCCGAGGAAGCCGGTAGCCACTGTAACGCCGGCTACTATGGCGGCGGCTGCTAACGCTGCAGATGCGGAGGAGGATGCGGAAGTCGCGGACGCCGCTTCGGCAGCTGATGCTGACGTGGCGACTAAGGGCGACGACGCCGATGGCGACGCGGCTGAGGCTGACGCCGTCGCAGATGCCGCCGCGGACGCCGCCGCGGAAGACGGCGCAGCGGCGAAGGCGGCGACCGCCAAGCCAGTCGCAGCGGACGACGATGCCGCTGCAGCTGATGCGGAAGGCGCGGAAGGAGCGGAAGGGGCGGAAGGCGCGGAGGGCGCTGCAGTTGGTGAAACCACAGACGACGCGGCTGCGGGTGGTACTGCGGCGGCGGCGGCGTCGGCGGAGAAGCCGAGTTCGGCTCGTGGGTCCGTGTCGGATGCTGGCCCGCTCGCATGGAAATCCGCCAATATGTCGCGGGATGACATTGATCCTAAAGGTGAGACGACATTAAATTCTAAGGTAAGACGATGAGTTTGGAGATGTCCCAAAAGCTGGGCTGCTCGCATGGGAATTCGCGTCGCCAGTATGTCGTGGAGAAGACATGTACTTCACATGTGAGTCTGAACTGACTTGGTTGGAAGCAAGACGTTCATGAACTGGGTTGCTCGCACGGGAATTCGCCAACATGTCGTGAGATGACGTTGATCCCAAACATGAGCTGACGTGGATGGAATTCACAGGTGATCCGTCGTTGATCACAACGGCGAGCCCTGCTGCTGACCTTCAAGGGAGGTCACGCATTCGACTGGGCTGGTAGGCGGGTATTCATTCAGTGGGGCCAGACAGAACAAGAGATTGCCAGCGCAAGCGAAAACGCTCTGAGCGCCACCACTTCGCGCTGGCAAATTGGGCTGGCATCTGTTAACATGGTTACCACAGGTTACCACACCCACGTGGTTACCACACCCACATGGTTACCACTCCCCCTCTCCCCTCCCAGCCCGTGCCGGCACGGCATCAAGCTGCAGTGCCAGGGCGTGGAAGCGGGGAACGCAGGCTGAGCCTGCTTGCTAGGTGCGTCATTACACTACCCTCCACCTGGTTATTCAATCCAACCCACGTGGTTCTCCAGGCCCCTGTCGCCGCGACATCAAGCTGCACTGCCAGGGCGTGGAGCCGGGGAAAGCAGTCTCAGCCTGCTGGTGTGCAACGTGTCTGTCATCACTGCCCCCGCCTCCCTGTCACTCACTTCCCTCCCTTTCACCAGGCCCCTGTCGCCGCGACATCAAGCTGCACTGCCAGGGCGTGGAGCCAGGCAACGCGGTGCTGTCGCTGTGCCTCACCTTCCACGTCAAGAATGAAAAGTCCGGCAACGAGCTGGGCGGTGAGTTGAGGCAACGAGCTGGGCGGTGAGTTGAGGCAACGAGCTGGGCGGTGAGTTGAGGCAACGAGCTGGGCGGTGAGTTGAGGCAACGAGCTGGGCGGTGAGTTGAGGCAACGAGCTGGGCGGTGAGTTGAGGCAACGAGCTGGGCGGTGAGTTGAGGCAACGAGCTGGGCGGTGAGTTGAGGCAACGAGCTGGGCGGTGAGTTGAGGCAACGAGCTGGGCGGTGAGTTGAGGCAACGAGCTGGGCGGTGAGTTGAGGCAACGAGCTGGGCGGTGAGTTGAGGCAACGAGCTGGGCGGTGAGTTGAGGCAACGAGCTGGGCGGTGAGTTGAGGCAACGAGCTGGGCGGTGAGTTGAGGCAACGAGCTGGGCGGTGAGTTGAGGCAACGAGCTGGGCGGTGAGTTGAGGCAACGAGCTGGGCGGTGAGTTGAGGCAACGAGCTGGGCGGTGAGTTGAGGCAACGAGCTGGGCGGTGAGTTGAGGCAACGAGCTGGGCGGTGAGTTGAGGCAACGAGCTGGGCGGTGAGTTGAGGCAACGAGCTGGGCGGTGAGTTGAGGCAACGAGCTGGGCGGTGAGTTGAGGCAACGAGCTGGGCGGTGAGTTGAGGCAACGAGCTGGGCGGTGAGTTGAGGCAACGAGCTGGGCGGTGAGTTGAGGCAACGAGCTGGGCGGTGAGTTGAGGCAACGAGCTGGGCGGTGAGTTGAGGCAACGAGCTGGGCGGTGAGTTGAGGCAACGAGCTGGGCGGTGAGTTGAGGCAACGAGCTGGGCGGTGAGTTGAGGCAGCGAGCTGGGCGGTGAGTTGGGACGTGGGATTGAGCTCGGGGGTTAGTGAGTGAGCCCTTGCATGAATGGAGCCTTGCCTTGGTCAGTACGACTCGTGTCTGCATCTGCATGTGTACGCTGCTGTGTCACTCAGTCTAACGTTTGGGTCCATCTGCTGACCGTAACTATTGGCTGGTGCTGTGGTGGTGTTGTGGTGGTGGGCATGGCATGGCATGGCATGGCACAGTGGTGTGGCAGGTCCCAAGGTGTCCAAGAAGTGCAAGAAGGACGTGCGGGCGTTCAGGGCGGAGATGTACAAGGACCTCAGCATGGACAAGGCACTGGGTGAGTGCTCCTCGTGCTTTGCTGTGGAACAAGGCCTGCATGTATCGGTTCACATTATATCGCGTTCAGGGCGGAGACGTACAAGGACCTCACCATGGACAAGGCACTCGGTGAGTGCTTTAAATGTTCTGATTCAGAACCAGGCGGATCGAATGTGTCTGTTTGCCTTAAATCGATTTGAGGGCGGAATTGCACAAGGACGTCAGCATGAGTTGGTGCTTCTTGGTCTTTGTGAAACATGGTCAGCTGGTATCCACTTGTCTGATTGTTTGTTTTGCTGTCACTGATGGTTGCCCGTGCTCTGTGGATGTGTGCGTGTGTGTGTATGTGCGTGGATGTCTGTGTGCGTGTGTGTGTATGTGCGTGGATGTCTGTGTGCGTGTGAGTGAGTGTGTGGGTATGTGTGTGTGAGTGTGTGTGTGTGTGTGTGTGTGCGCGCGCGCGTGCGTGTGCGCGTATGTGTGTGTGCGCGCGCGCGTACGTGCATGTGTTCATGTCTGTGCATGCGTGGGTGCATTTGTGCGTGTCCGTGCGGATGTCCGATTGTCCCTGCGCGCACATGGCATGCAAGCAGCCACAGCATGCAAGGCGGACATCACCAAATTCTGTGACGACGACTTTCTCTACCCTGAGCCTGGCAACGTTGTCGCGTGCCTCAGGTGCTCCTTCTCCCCTCACTGGATAGCTACTTGCTACTTTGCTTTGAGATGCTTTAAGGCGGGCTGGCATGCAAGGCGGACATCACCAAGTTATGTGACGACGACTTTCTCTACCCCGAGCCCGGCAACGTCGTTGCCTGCCTCAGGTGCGCCTCTCCTCTCCCATCCTCTCCTCTCCCCTCCTCCCCTCTACTCTCCCCTCCTCCCCTCTCCTCTCCCCTCCTCCCCTCTCCTCTCCTCTCCTCTCGCAGCTTCCTTCCAGTGCATTGTTTCTTATCGTTCCCTCATGCTCTGTTGGTCGGTTTACTGCATGCGTCGTGAGGTGACCGTGATTGCATGATGATTGGGAGGACCCACCTGTCACGTGCCTTGCGGAGGTGCTGCGATGCCATGTTCCTCCTAACCGCACAGCACATCTCCTTCCTTTTCCCCGGCCCTCCTTCCCCCCCCCCCCTTCCACCCCCCGCTTCCACTTCCACGGCCTTGTGCGGAAGCTGGCGGATGCGTGCCGGGCGGAGGTGCTGCGGTGCTTTGTCCCTCACCTCACAATCTAACCCTCCTTAGCTTACCTACCCACCCCATCCCCCTCTCCCTCCCCTCTCCCCCCCTCTCCCCCCCCCCCCCCCCCCCTCCCAACTTCCCCCCCTTCCCCCCCAGGGAGGTGAACCAGGTGGAGAAGCTGGCAGACAAGTGCCATGCGGAGGTGCTGCGACCTTCCTAACCACAAAACCATCTACCTTTCACCCCACCCCACCACCCCCACCCCACAATCCCCCTCCTCCGCCCCTCCTCTCCCCAGGGAGGTGAACCAGGTGGAGAAGCTGGCAGACGAGTGCCGGGCGGAGGCGCTGCGATGTTGCTAACCACAAAACCATCTACCTTTCACCCCAACCCACAATCCCCCCCTTCTTCTCCCCCCTTCCCCAGGGAGGTGAACCAGGTGGAGAAGCTGGCAGACGAGTGCCGGGCAGAGGTGCTGCGAGCGCAGTTGGAGGCAGCAGAGGATTTCAAGATGGACCCGCAGCTCAACCAGCTCTGCTCTGCTGAGGCTGATAGGCTCTGCAAGGGCGTGGAGCCGGGGGAAGGGCGCGTGCAGGACTGCCTGGTGGGTTTGGATTGGATAGGCCTGGTTGGCAGGTTGTGGATGGATTGTGGGCGGAGACGGATGGTGGTGGGTGGTGGGTGGGTGGGTGGGTGGGTGGGTGGGTGGGTGGGTGGGTGGGTGGGTGGGTGGGTGGGTGGGTGGGTGGGTGGGTGGGTGGGTGGGTGGGTGGGAAGTGGATGGATGTAAGTGTCTGGTGCTGGGCGCCTCTGCAAGGGCATTGAGCCGGGCAAGGGGCGCACTCAGGACTGCCTGGTGGGTTGGGATGGAAGGGCCGGATGGATGGGTGGGTGGGTGGGTGGTGCATTTGGAAGGGGCAGGTGGGTGGTGGGTGGGTGGGTGGGTGGGTGGTGCATTGGGGAAGGTCTGCTGGGTTCTTGATCCGTGCTGCTGGGCGGCTGGCGCATGTTATGACAGTCTGTTCAGCACTTCACGATCGTATCAACAAGCTCACCTCATCTATGCACGTTTCTCCGCCTGTGTCCCCCCCCCGCCCCCCCAACCAACCATCTCCCTGCCCTCGCTCGCTGCTCTGTCTGGGAACCTCACCAACTTGCCCTGCCCTGCTCTGCCAGCCGGATACCGTTTTTTAGTGGCCTCAAAACTCACCTTTTTCCACCCTCCTCCCACCCTCCTCACGCCCGCCTCCCCCCGTCCTTCCCGCCTCCTCCCACCCTCTCTGTTTCCCCCATGCAACCTCCCCCTCCCTCTCTCCATCCCTCTCCCACCCTGCCTCCGCCCTTATCCCACCATGCTCCCGCCCTTCTCCCCCCCCTCCCGCCTCTTCCCTTCTCCTGCCCCTCGTGATCCCTCTCCATCACCCATCCCCCAGAGGGAGCACCGAGCGCAGCTAGCATGGGACTGCCAGGCGGAGCTGTTTCGGCAGGAGGTGGAGAACGCGGGGGACATCCGCCTCAACGTGCGGCTGTTCCAGGCATGCCTCAACGACCAGCGCCGCTTCTGTGCCGACGTCAAGTATGGCGATGCACGCGTGAAGGACTGCCTTGAAGACCACCGCCTCGACCCCGACTTCTCGCCATCATGGTGAGTGGTGTGGTGTGGTGTGGTGTGGTGTGGTGTGGTGTGGTGTGGTGTGGTGTGGTGTGGTGTGGTGTGGCGTGGTGTGGTGTGGTGTGGTGTGCTGCCTGCAGCTATCTTCCATGCATGTGCCTCCACCGGCCCTAGCAACGTCAAATACAGCGACGCAAGAGTCAAGGACTGCCTGGAGGATCATCGGCTCGACCCCGACTTCTCACCATCATGGTGAGTGAATGCGTGCTCCAGCAACCACCTTTGGGACGAGAGAGCTTTGAACTTAGCTTGTAGCAGCGCTGTCATGCTTCTGTGCCGTCGTCAAGAACGGCGATGCACGCGTCAAGGACTGCCTCGAGGATCATCGCCTCGACCCCGACGTCTCGCCATCATGGTCAGTGGTGTGGTGTGGTGTGATATGGTGCTTGCCTGCAGCTATCTTCCATTCATGCATGTACGAGCACCGGCCGGCCCTATCAATGTCAAGTATGGGGTGCGAGTGAAAGACTGTCCGCCTGGATCTCAAGTTCTCCCCCTGCCTGGGCACTGGTCAGTCAGTCTGTGCCTGGCTGGCTGCCACTGCTGATTTGAGAGGGCCTTGTGCTTTTAGCACGGCTGACATGCCATGGTTCCATCTATACCAAACGGACGTCCCAATGCGGGGCATTGGCACTGTCCTCCATGCTACCCCCTCTGATCTGATTATCCCCCCAAACCCCCCCTCCTCTACCCCCCCTTCTACACCTCCGCATCCCACTCCCTCTCCGCCCAACTACCAATTCCCTTAATTGTTGTGGATGGCTGGCAGGTGGGCGGAGTTTGAGGAGGCAATGGCGCGGCGGGCCACTGACTTGCATGCAATGCAGCCCCTGCTGTGTGTAGTACCCCAAGCTCACGTCTCCTCCCCCCTTCCTGCTTCCCCTTTCCCCCCATCCTCTTACTGCCCCTCTCTTTCCGCTCCCTCTCCTCCTCCTCCCCTCTCCCTCCCTACTCCCCCCTCTCTTTCCTCCCCCATGGCTGCTGCGAGCAGCAAGATGGAGTTTGAGAAGATGATGGCGCGGCGGTCAACCGCCTTCCATGCTCTGTTGCCTTGATTCCCAACCTCCCTACTCCTTCCTTCCTCTCCCCGACTCCCCCCACCCCTCATTGCTTGCGTGGGTGGCAGCAAGACGGAGTTTGAGAAGATGATGGCACGCCGGTCCACCGACTTCCGCCTCGACGCCACGCTGCGCAAATACTGCAAGGCGGACATTGCCGAGGTGAGGGGGAGGGGGGCATTGCAGAGGTAGGAGTGGGATATTGCGGAGGTTAGGGGAAGAAAAGCCACAGAAGTATAAAGATCGAGTGGAGAAGACACAGCAAGGTGATTGAGTGCCTGCGGGACTACAGGAACCAGTTCCGTTCCACCCCACGCGGAAAATCTGATGCACTTACTGACAGCTTCGTCCCCCGCTCCCTCCCCCCCCGCCTCCACCGTCGCCCCTCGTCCCTCATTCCTCCAACTTAACCCCCCCCCCCCCCCCCCCCCCCCCCCTCCTCCTCCCTTCCCCTCCACCCCACCCCCCCCTCCTTCCCTGCCCTCCTGCTGCTGCACCACCCACCAGATCTGCTACCCTGACGCGGAGGACATATCAGACGTGGCGAATTTCGATGCCAAGGTGATCGAGTGTCTGCAGGACTACCGGGACGAGCTCAAGGACGCCAAGTGCAAGGCCGCCGTGCACCGGCTCACCGCCCGCGCTGCAGAGAGCATTCGCTTTGATCGGCCCCTGGCTGACGCGTGCCACGGTGAGTGCTGCAAGGCATGGCCTGGCCTGGTACAGGGAGTGAGTGGTGGTGTGCTGCATGGTGAGTGGGTGAGCTCAAGGACCCCAAGTGCAAGGCCGCCGTGCACCGTCTCACCCAGCACTCTGCTGAGAGCATTCGCTTCAATCGCCCGCTGAGAGTGAGTGATTGGCGGGTCATGAGGTTGGGATGCAGATCCTGTCTGACACTTCATTCATTCTTCACCTTCCATCCTCTCCTCTCCCGCCCCCCCAACTCAGGTTTTCTTTTCCATTCTAACCTGTTTCCCCTACTCCCATCCCCCCATCCCTCTCCCCCCTCCCACATCCCCTCTCCCCCGCATTCGCTGCAGAGGACCGCACGGCCATCTGCCGGGGTGTGCCGGACGGCATGGCGCAGGTGTTTCTGTGCCTGCAGGACAGAACAGCATGGGGAGATTTCTTCCCTTTCTCCTTTTCCTCAATCCTCCCGTCCCCCTGCCCTTTACCCTTTTGCTGCCTTCTTTTCCCCCGTCCTCCCCCTCCCCCTCCCCCCACCCCCCCCCATCTGCTGCAGAGGACCGCACGACCATCTGTCGGGACGTGCCGGACGGCATGGCGCAGGTGTTTCTGTGCCTGCAGGACAACATGGGCAAGCTTAAAGAGTCGTGCCGCACCGCGCTCTTTGAACAGGTGAGCGCGGGTCACTAGGCTCTTCCACTAGTGCCAGCAGGTATGGCTGGGTCGCCAGGGTCAATTCACTTCACCCCTGGCTGGTGCCCATGCCCATGCCCATGCCCATGCCCATGCCCATGCCCATGCCCATGGCCATGTCGCTTGATGCTGCCCATGTCGCTTGATGCTGCCCATGTCGCTTGATGCTGGCAGTGCATTGACTTCAAGTTCCCCATGTGTCTTCCCAGTTGCTCCGCAATCCAACAGCCTCCTCGTTTCTATGTGTGCTTTGTCCCTCGTCTGGCGCAACCCCACTTTACCCCACCCCACCCCACCCCACTGCACCCCACGCCATTGCACGGCTGGCAGCTGGTGCGCATGGCGGAGGACATTGACTTCAAGTTCCCCATGAAGCGCGCCTGTGCCTCGGAGCTGCAGAAGTTCTGCAAAGACATCCCGCATGGTATGGCATGGGGGGAGGGGGGGGGGGGGGAGAAAGAGGGGGGTGGGATCTTGGGGATAGGGTGGGAGCATGGTGGTGGGGTGGGGTGGTGGCACTTTATGGTGGTAGCATGGTGGGCGGTGGAGTGGGTGGGGGGCATGAAGCATTTTGCATGGTATGGATGGCATGGTATGGATGTCATGGTATGGATGTCATGGTGATAATGCTCATCCTGGAATGCTGCCCTTCCCTGTCGCTCCACTGGTCGCCCCCTGTCATCCCTGGCCTGGCAAGCCATATACAGCACTTCTTCCCACACCGTTCTCTCCCGTGTGATCTGATCTGATCTGATCTGATCTGGTCTGGTCTGCACGTGCTGCAGGCCATGCAGCGAGGGTGAAGTGTCTGCAGGAGAGCATAGACAGTGCGGACATGGGAGAGGAGTGCCGCAAGGAGGTCAAGCGAGACATGGCCCGCTCTGCAGGAGGTGCACCCTTTCCCCCCTTTCGACTTGCTTTCGTTCGCCCTGCAAGTTACCTTCTTCTCACCTCTGTGAGAGGTGCCCCTTTTCCGTTTTGCCTCGCTGCGCTCTTGTTGGTTCCCACTTGTTGCTCTTGCTCCTCGCCATGCACCCGTGCCCTCTCTCCCCCATCCCTTCTCTCTCATCCTCCTCCCGCACCAATCTCCCTCACAACCCTTTCAGACTACCGTCTCAACTACCGCCTTCATCGCGCCTGCCTCCCCGAGATCCGGAAGCACTGCTTGCACTCGTGTGACGGTGCCAGCACCAACAGCTCAGCCACGTGCGCTGGCACGGCACGTCGGCACCATCCCTCACCCTGCTCTCCCCCACACCCTCCCCCCATCCCTATTTTTCCGATCCCCCTCCTCTCCCCCTCTCCTCCATTTTCCTTTCTTCCTCCAGACTACCGTCTCAACTACCGTCTGCACCGCGCCTGTCTCCCGGAGATCCAGAAGCACTGCTCGCACGCGTGCGACGCTGCCAGCACCAACGGCTCCGTCACGTGCGCGGGCACCGTGGTCAAGTGCCTGCAGGAGAATCAGGATCAAATCGAATCGGAGTCGTGCAAGCAGGAGATCACGTCGTTCAGCATCCTCGAGGCCAAGGACCCGCTCTCCCTCGACGTGCCCCTGCAGGCGGCCTGCAAGGCGGATTTGCAGGCGCTGTGCCCGGACGTGGGGAGGGACCATGGGCGGAGCTTGGCTTGTCTGAGGGGCAAGAGGGAGCAGCTGAGTGCGCCGTGCAGGAAGGAGGAGATGCGGTTCAGCATTATGGAGGCTTCGGATATTCGCATCACACCCAGCCTCATGAACGCGTGTGGGCAAGGTACGAACGGGACATTCTTCCCATCCCAGGGATGGGCGGGTGTGCAATCACCTGCAGCAGTGCGTGAAACGCACGCACAGCCGTGTGTCCCTCTTCCCAACCCCACCCATTCCCACACCAGAACTCTAGAGATTTGGTTGTGACGTCCCTTCCAGGGACAAGGTGCCGTTCAAGTGTCTGCAGCAGCACATGACTCAAGACGATAGCCACGTGTACAGACCACACAACGCTTCCCTACTCTTTTCCCCATCTCGCCATGTGCTTTTCCTTGTGTGTGATCCCGCAGAGCTGCAGAGCTTCTGTCGCGATGTGCCGCCCAGGGAAGGGCGCGCGTTCTTGTCTCTGCAGCAGCCCGTGAAAACACTGCTGTGTGTCCCCATTCCCCCACCACCCTCTTGTTTCCTCCCCTCCCTCCCTCCCCACACCAGAGCTGCAGAGCTTCTGTCGTGATGTGCCACCCATGGGGGGCCGAGCGTTCAAGTGTCTGCAGGAGCACGTGAGCGACGTGGGCATGGGCGCGGCCTGCCAGGGCGAGGTGAACCTGCAGATGACCCGCCGCGCCGCCAACTACCGGCTGGACGTGCGGCTCAGGGAGGAGTGTGCGGGCGACCTGAAGCAGTACTGTGAGGGCAAGGACGCCGGCAAGGAGGGGCACGCCGTGGTGCTCAAATGCATGGTCGACAACTTCAAGAGCCTCGTGCCCTCGTGTCAGGGAGAGGTGGGTTGATTGGGTGGAGAGTGGCCGAGTTGCATGTTCTTCAAATTGCACCTTAAACTCTTCAAGCTCACTGGACTATGAAGCTCCTACTTGTCAGAGGTCCACTGATGATCCCCGATTGATCCTAGGGAAGGGTTACAGGCACGTTGGCCTAGGGGGTTATGGACGCACTCACCCGCTACACAAACAAGCCCTTTTATCCCAGTGGTTAGTGGCTGGGATTCTGACATGGTATCAGAGCGAAGGTCTCGGGTTTGAATCTTGGTGTGTGCACCTCGGACATCCCAGTGCGGGGGGGTGTCAGAGGTCCAGTGGTAATCCCTAATTGATCCTAGGGAAGGGTTACAGGCACGTTGGCTTGGGGGGTTATGGGCGCACTCACCCGTTACACAAACAAGCCATTTTATCCCAGTGGTTAGTGGCTGGGATTCTGACACTACTCACTTGCATTGGACCGACTCCGCCCTTCTGCTGCTACCACTTCTGCTGCCATTGCTGCTGCCGCTGCTCTTCTTCTGCTGCTGCTGCCGCTGCTGCTCCCCAGAGCACACATCTGTTTCATCGATCCTCCCTTCCCCTGTACCCTGTCACTGCGCCCTCCCGTACCTCCCTATCTCATCCAGCTGACCTACGTGGCAATGGAGCTCACAGCCGTGTTCCCTACCTCACTTTTTCAAATCCATGCTTTCTCCCCCTTTTCTCACTCCCTCTCCTCCCCCCAAGTGTCCTACGTGGTGCGCATGGCACTCTTCCAGTACCTAAGTTGGGCTCTTACGGTTTTCCAGGCAGCGTAAACGTAAATTTTGCGAAATGTTACGATTTCGATTTCGTACGTTAAGTTACGCGTAAGTCTGACGCGGGCAGCGGAAAAAAAAAATTTCGCGGCCCGTTGTTTTTCATCCTCGATTATGGCTTACGATAGAAGCAAGAACAGCTAATCCGAGCCTTCTGCAATAGCGAACTATGTAGAAACGCAAAGCCTTTAAAGTCCCTAACGCGATCTGAATCTGTGACGTCTTGGTGGTAGACTACTATGTGAAGATATCGAGCCACTAGGTTTAGATCGATTAGGTCGAGAGAGTTTTGTAGGCTGTGAGGGAGTCAAGACGTTGTGCTAGGGAGGAGGATGTGAGTGGTGGTTTGTTGGGCTCGGAATTAGGACGCGCGCTTTGCGAAATTCTCTAGGGAGTGGCGTACGTGCGTGGCGAAATTTGTAGGTGTGGATGTTGGCGAAATTCAATCTAGGGTTCGCGACTGCCACAATTCTGTTCAGCTGTTTGGTGAAAACGAAAAAAAATGTAACAGCGAATCCAACCAACCCTAGGTCTTAGCGAATCAGCAAAGCCAGAAATATTACGTGACCCCACTTTTGTCGAAACTGGATCTAAATCCAGAATCCAGATCCAGATTCCGTAAGTAGAGCAGAACTTCGTATTCAGCGACTACTTAGCTCTAGTTCCTCGATCTCCGTAACCTATGGCTTCACCTGCTAATCTTAACGAGCACCCCGTTTGGAAGCATTTTAGATTACCAGATGGGGCTCCATCAGATTCGGCGGAAAGGCAATGCAAGTTTTGCAATCATTCGTGGTCCCTACTCGTGCTCAGGCTCATATCCTAGGTAATAGCAAGGACATTAGAGCATGCAAGAAAGTGTCAGCAGAGGCTAAGGCTGAAGTGCGTAAAGCGGCATCAGCCAAGTCTAGTGAGCAGGAAGCTAAGCGGATCGCCTCGAAGCGCACGATGGACGCGTTTAGCAAGGAGACAACCGGGATCGTTGCTAGCTCTAGCACACCAAGCAAGCGCCCGGCAAATCAGAAAACGTTGCTCGAATGTCGGCCTACAGGTGCAAATCTCGCAAGCGCGCAGCAGGCGGTTGCAACGTTTTTCCACGTTTGCCGCATTGCCCCCAATGTAGCGAAGCACCCCGCTTTCAAGTCTATGTTAAGGAAAGTGGCTGTAGCTGGTCCTGGATTTCCAACACCTACTCGGAAGCTGATCATGGGCCGGCTCTTGCAAGATTGCAAGGATACCACGGACGACGCGTTGAAACCGATCAAGGACTCGTGGAGCGACATTGGTGTGAGCATTGCTACTGACGGATGGACAGATATCTCTAGCCGCCCACAGATGAACTTCCTAGCAGTGAACACGAAGGGAGCTGTCTTCTTGTTCGGCGTTGATTGCGGTACAAAGAAGAAGAGCGGCGAGTACATTGCCGAACACCTCAAGAGAACCATCGGCATGGTTGGAGCAGAGAATGTGGTGGGGCTGCTAATGGATGGCGCAAGCAACAACATTAGCGCAGCCAAGATCGTGAAGGCGGAATTTCCTAAGGTGGAATACATCCGTTGCGCGGCTCACAGCCTCAACAATCTGATGAAAGACATTGGGGGGCGCAAATGGGCTGCCAAAATCATTGGCAAGGGGCAAGACCTGATTTCGGTTTTGAAGAAGGCACATTGGATCACCGGCTACTTCCGTGATAAAAAATCTCTCATGCTGCTTAAGCCCGCGGGCACACGCTTTGGAACAAACTATGTAGCGCTGCAACGTTTGCTGGATGTGCGTCCTGTACTTGACCAAATGGTGCTAACCACAGGGTGGGCTGCCCAGGCACATGGGAAGAAGCGGATGGTTGCGGCACGCGGCGTGATTAGGGATGATGTTTTTTGGGAGGGGGTGGAGAGGGTGGTACGTGTCTTGAAGCCGATTTACATGCTCTTGAGGGCGGTTGATGGAAATCAGGAGGTTATGGGGAAGATGTATGACATGATGCTGGATTTAGAGGAGAGCATGAAGACGGCTTGCAGCTGCCTGAGGAGCAAGGAGAGCAAGTGGATTTTGGGGGCCATGCGGCGTTGCTGGAATAAGAACATCAACTGCGCCTTACATGTGGTGGGCCGGATTTTGTATCCACCGAATCAATACGAGAAGATCTTCGGCAGGGACATTGAGTGCACTAGGATCTTCAAGCAGTTCATAAGGGATTACTATAAGGGGGTGTATGTGGTGGATAAGGATGGCACGAAGTTTCCAATGGCGACCATTGTTGAGAGGGAGATTCTTATTTATGTGAAAGGAGAAGGGGCCATTGGTGAGCCGAAGGCAAGGGCAGATCTCGAGCTCGTGAAGGTGGGCAAGTTGGACCCCGCTCATTGGTGGGAGTTTAGTGGGGAGCAGCAGTGCCCCAACCTTGCTAAACTGGCTTGCAAGGTTCTCAAGCAGTGTGTTTCTGCTTCCGCGTGTGAAACCAATTGGGGGTTTGGGAATCTATCCACACCGCGCGGCGAAACCGCCTAGGACCCAAGCGCCTCGAGGACCTTGTCTACGTGACACACAATTACAACACAGTATGTAAGGTGCATGAGGAGCATGAGAAGCGGTTCTTCAAGGCTGGCCACGAATCCATTCAGATTGAGGAGCAGCAGCAAGATCCGTATGGACCGCTCGACGATGACGACATCTCCGATGATGCTTACATGGAAGATGAAGAGGAGGAAGAGGAGGCGGATAAGGAGGAGGAAAAGGAGGAGGAGGATGAAGGAGGAAAGGGGGGGAGGAGGAGGAGGAGGAGGAGGAGGAGGAGGAGGAGGAGGAGGAAGAGGAGGAGGAGGAGGAGAAGGAGGAGGAGGAGGAGGAGGAGGATGAGGAGGAGGAGGAGGAGGAGGAGGAGGAAGGGGGGGGGAGGAGGAGGAGGAGGAGGAGGAGGAGGAGGAGGAGGAGGAGGAGGAGGAGGAGGAGGAGGAGGAGGGAGGAGGAGGAGGAGGAGGAGGAGGAGGAGGAGGAGGAGGAGGAGGAAGAGGAGGAGGAAGAGGAAGATGAGTAGGTTGGGGTAGGGAGAGAAGAGGGTGGATTAGGAGCAGTAGGGCGGAGGACAACCGGGTCGGCGGGAGAGATAGGGGGATTATATTATATGTTTTCCAAGTTTCCATTATTTACCTTCCTCCACTTTTGACATATAGATACAACATGGATCTCTTGAGTATTCTGGTAGTTTTTTTTCCCCCGGGCAGCCCAAAAAAATTTTCAGCTGACCGTAACCGTAAGGCCGATTCAGGGCTACCGTTCGTAAACGTAAAAATCGTCGTAAACGCCCGAAAACGTAAGGCCCCGTAAACGTAAAATCCAACTTAGAGTACCACCGAGCTGCAGAGCTCACAGCCCTGTCCCCTTATTTTCGTCAACCACCCCCCCAATTTCCCCTCCCTTGCTCCTTCTCCCCACCCCCCCAGGTGTCCTACGTGGTGCGCATGGCCCTCTTCCAGTACCACCGAGCTGCTTATCTCACGTCGCCCTGCGACGATGCAGTGGACAGCATCTGTGTGGCCCCGGGCGCCCGCAAGCCCAAGGAGATCAACGGCGCCGTCATCTCCGTGTTCGGCCAGTGCCTGCTGTCCGCGCAGCCCGATAAGCTATCTGAGGAGTGCCGCGCGCTGGTGCAGGTGGCGGGCAAGGAGGGCTCGTATGTGAAGGGCGGGCTGGACCAGGCCACGCTGGACGAGGCCCTGGCGAAGCTCAAGGAGGTGAGCTGGTTGCGGGGTGGCTCGAACATCTGGTCCAGGTGGTGTCGAAGGGGGGAGGGGAGAGGGGGGAGGGGGGGTGGGGGGGGCGGGCTGGACCGGGCTAAGTGGATTCTGCACTGGCGAAGCTCAGGGAGGTGAGGAGGGTGTAGGGGTTGGAGAGGGTGGGGAGGGTGGGGAGGGTGGGGAGTGTGGGGAGGTTCAGTAGATCCGGAGGGGAACGAGCAGGCGAAGCTGGAGTGGGTGGTGTTGAAGCTCAAGGAGGTAGAGACAGACGAGGGGGCTTGTGAGAGGTGAGCATAGTGATGGGAGAGTGAGGCAAGTGCGACCACACATTACGTCTTCATGGTTTCATAACTTGATGTCATGCAGTGTCCGTTCTCCTGTTCTTGATCCCACATTGCAGAGTTGCAGCCCCTTCTTCCATCAACCTCATCTCATCGCATCGCATCTCATCTCATCTCATCTCACCCTCCACTTCATCCCCATCACCTGTGCTCACCAGCTCCCTGCGGCAGCCGCAGCAGACGGGTCAAGTGGCAAGTCAGGGCTGGTGATTTCAGGCTGGCTGGCCTTTGCAGCGCTGGTGGCTGTGGTGGTGGTTGCTGTTGCTGCTGGCTTTGGCATCTACCACAAGTACTTCAGCCCCACTCGCAACTACACCTTGGTCGTCAAATCAGCCCCCCCGGGCACTGTTTAGGTTGTGTTCAGCACAAATCCATGTCTCTCTTATTGTAACTTATTTGTCTGGCACAACCCTTGTTGGATTCAGGGAGGTTGATTGTTAAGAGAGGGCATGGGATAACTGCTGTGCAGTGCTGCAAGGGTGTTGTGTCTCGAAATGTCTCTATATATCTGTTAGTTGTCTTGCATTTCCCGTCTAGAAAATTCTGGCCTAAACGAAGCTCACCCTGGTTCGGACTACCGTGCTCCCCGCTCGGCTTTCCCACAAACGCGTACAATACCATCAGGTAGAACATATGGTACCAGCAAACGCGTACCTACCGCATTTCAACTATCACCTGGTGGCACGGCGGCCAGGTACCTAACCTCTTATGCGATGGGGTGCGTTTTTAGGCGTTTTTGTGCGGCTTATTTACATCTCAAAACTCTGATATGGTATGAAACAGAATCACACGTGTGGGAGGGAGTTGCCCCTGGTTGGTGCGCGGAGTTCCCGCGGCGCCTCTCCTGCGCGGGCGACAATAATTCTCGCCGCCAGGTACTTGTTGGGGCATTCGGTGTGCACCCCTTTCCACCAATCCGTCACACCCCGCCCGCCTTTTCTTTCCTCCCCCATCCCCCCAAATGCTCAGAGCGCACGCAGCCTTGGGGGCGCTGACATCCGTCACCGCCGCTGGAGCGGCGGAAACGGAAAACAAAATTCTAGCGAAGGGGTTTTGAAATGTTCAAATCACTCACTACGGTTCTAGCAGGTGCAGTACGTTTGAAAGCGATGAGTGATGTTTACCGCGCCTCACCGTGTGGAAACTTACAAAACCACACTGGACGACCAGCACACCTCTCAAGCATTGCATGTCGGTTTCAAGGCGGATGTGCCTGGGCATTAGGGGGTCAACCAAACCGCAGCAAATCAAGCACCGCCATTATTCCCGGCGCGTCGCGTCCACTGAACTTGCAAGGCGAGTTATCGCATAATGGCCTGCTTGTTTCAGCAGTGCCCGCAGCATGAGCCCCTCGTATCACTGCTAATACGATCGCATGTTGCAAGAGTGTGCACTCGTGACGTTGTATTGTTACCAGTACGAGCTTCACAGCCTACACTGCGAGAGCGGAGATAAGCGATTAGATACAATTTCGGCACTTCAAACTCTGACGTAAGATAGATCTGCGCTGTCAGTCGAGGACCGAAGTCACAGTGACCTCGTACTTTCTTCGATCCAAGAGTTGTCGTTGCCAGGAAATCGCTCAGAAACCCGCTTACGCACGGTGCTCCAGCCGTCATGGGAGCCCCGGAGAGCCCAGAGCAGCAGCTATTACCGGTGGTAACCACGGCCCCTGCAGACCCGAAATCCGTCCAAAACAGATCCCAAGGAGTTTTGGGCCGATGGGAAAACGACTCGGACTCGAAGCACAAGTCTTCATACTGCTTTGGTTTCAGGGATTGGAGAAGCATGTTGCGCGGGGCCGCTGACGCGCGCAAGTCTACGGGGGGTTCCGCGGGCGCGGATCCGTCAGCGCGCGGGGGCGCGGGCGCGGACCCGTCAACGGGGTACGGAGCGCTGTTCCGGCTGGCGCTGCCGTCCATTCTGCTGCAGAGCGGCGCGCCTCTGGCGATCACGGTGCAGACGGCGCTGCTGGGTCGCAAAGACACGCAGCTCGTCGCCGCGTGGGCCGTCGTTGCGAGTGAGTTCGGGGAGAGGTGATGCGTGACTCGGATGCTGTGTGGGGGGGGAGAGAGGGAGGGACAGGGGGGGGGGGGGGGGGGGGGGGGGAGGGGGAAATGAGGATGATACGCATCGACTTGCACAAGGCGCTGCTGGGTCGCAAGGACACGCATCGGATGCTGTGTGCAGGGCATGTGGCGCGCGCGGGAGGCATGGGGATTCGCGCGCGGGGCATGGGTGCACGGAATGCGCGCGCGGGGCATGGAGATGCGCGCGCCGGGCGTAGGGATGCGCGCGTGGGGCATAGGGATGCGCGCGCGGGGCAAGGGAAGCGCGCGGGGCATAGGGATGCGCGCATGGGGCATAGGGATGCGCGCATGGGGCATGGGGATGGCCGGCGGGGCATGGGAATGCGCGCGCGGGGCGTGGGGATGCGCGCGCGGGGCGTGGGGATGCGCGGCCGTGGAGATGCGCACGTGGGGCCTGGGGATGCGCGCGAGTGGCAAGGGATGCGCGCGCGGGGCATGGAGATGCGCGCGCGGGGCATAGTTATGCGCGCATGGGGCATGGGGATGCCCGGCGGTGCATGGGGATGCGCTCGCGGGGCGTGGGGACGCGCGCGAGGCGCGGGGATGCGCGCGCGGGGCGTGTATGCGCGTGCGGGGCGTGGAGATGCGCGCGCGGGTCGTGGGGTTGCGCGCGCGGGGCGTGGGGTTGCGCGCGCGGGGCGTGGGTATGCGCGCGCGGGGCATGGGGATGCGCGCATGAGGCATGGGGATGCGCGCATGGGGCATGGGGATGCGCGCGTGGTGCCAACAGCTGGTTCGGTTGCCTTCAGTCTCCCACCTCCTCACTTCTCAAAACTCTTAAGCTTCTCTCTTCTCCATTGCCCTCATTCCTGTTCCTCTCTCACCTCGCTCCCCTCCCCCTCTCCTTCGCTGACCTCTCCTTCCCGCCTCGGACTCTCCCCCTCCCCTCGTCTCCCTCCCCTCGTCTCCCCGCCTTGCAGCGGCCACGAATGCAGCGACGGTCATTTTTAACTTCCTTGTAGTCGGCGTCACAGCCAAGGTGGGTGGCAGTAGCAAGGTGGGTGGGTGGTAGCCTGGTAGGTAAGGTGGGTGGGCGGCAGAGGCAGCTGCTAAGGTGGGCAGCAACCATTTACACCCGCACCTCGCCACTGAGTCAGTGGCACTGACCCTCTCTTCTCCGCCCTCCCCTCCACCTCGTTTTGCCATCGTCCCATGTCCCGTGCGCCTTGCCTCACGCATCAAACATCTCTCATGTCGACTCAGTAGCCGCATCTCGTTCCGGCCCTTCCCATTTTAGGCCAACGCAAAGCAGCAGCGAGGTGGCTTTTGAGTCGACTCAAAAGTCAGCTCAGCCCTTGCCCTCTCTTGGGTGTGCTGCGCCGCTAGCCACTATCTAGCGGTTGTGGCTCCCCTGCTGTCCTTCCAGGCACTGCTGTGCGCGTTGCCCACAGATTCCTCGTTAAAACCCCTTCCGTCCGCTCCCCCTCTGCTGTGCGTCTCTCTGCGCTGCTCATTTCTGCACGTCACCAAAGTGGTAGCAGTGGGGGCATGAGAGCAAGTGGGGGTGTGTATACGCCTCGCATTGGCCATGGCGCTAATTCCCAGTGCAGTGGCGGTGGCGCTGTGCTGTCCTTTCAGGGGCTGCTGTTTGTGTCCTGATATACACCCTGCCACCCCCTACCCCTTCTTCCCCGCTGCTGTGCAACTCTCGCTCCGCTCGCCTCTGCAGGTCACCAAAGTGGTAGCAGTGGGGCCGTGGGCGCAGGTGGGGGTACGGACCCGCCTGGCGTTCGCCATGGCTCTCGCCACCAGTGCACTGGCCGTGGGTGCACCAAGGGGCTCCTGTGGGCGCCCACAGGGTGTCCACAAATGCCTTACTACCTCCCCTCCACCTGCGTCCCTCTGCTGTGCATCTTCCCTGCAGGTCACCAAAGTGGTAGCAGTGTGGGCATGGGCGCAGGTGGGGGTGCGAATCCGCCTCGCATTCCCCATGGCTCTACCCACCAGTGCAGTGGCCGTGGTGCTGCTGCTGTCCTCGCAGGTTGCTGTTTGTGCGCTGATGTTCACCCTACCACCCCCTCCCTCTGCTTCCCCTCTGCTGTGCGCGTCTCTGAGCTGCTCCTCCTGCAGGTCACCAAGGTGGTGGCAGTGGGGGCGTGGGCGCAGGTGGGGGTGCGGATCCGTCTCGCATTCGCCATGGCTCTAGCCACCAGTGCAGTGGCCGTGGCGCTGCTACTGTCCTCGCAGGGGCTGCTGTGGGCGCTGCTAAGGGACTCGCCCTCTGTGCTGCAGTACGCTAAGAGTTACTTTTACTTGAGAGTCATGGGCGTGCCGCCACAGCTGCTGGTCATGTGCACTTCGGGCGTGCTGCAGGGGTATAAGGTGCGGATTAGTACAAGGTATGAAGGTATGCATGGCAAGAATGACTAGTTACACGGTAACCATTGCACCTCAAGGTATGGATTACAAAGGCATGTATAGTAAGGTGTAGCAAGGTAAGTAAGTTTTGAGTTACAAGAAACATCGTAAAGGACAAGGTACACATTTCAAATTCCCAAGGTGGACAAGGTACACATTTCAAATTCCCAAGGTGCAAGGCACAAGTGCAGAACCCGGTGGCACAGAAACTCGCAGAATCTCTTCATCTCTTCCCATCGTCGCTGCTTTTCCTTTTTGTATGAGCGTCTGGCACTCATCCGCTGCCCTTCCCTCCGCATTTCTCCCCATCACCCTCCATACAATTCTCTCAGCACGTGGCGCTGGTGGCATGGCTGCAGGCAGCACGAGCGCTGCTGGACGTGGCAGCGTCCTACCTCTCCCTCTACGTGCTTGACTGGGGCATCGTGGGTGTTGGCATCGGCACCTTTCTCGCATCCTGCACTGTCGCAGCCGTTTCCTTCGCCTGTATCCTCCTCCTACCGCCTCCCCAGGGCAGAGGGAAGATCGTTGTTTTCCCACCGATCCTGTCGTTTCTGGCTGGGAAGGTTGCCGTGCCGCAGGTTTTGCTCTGCCGAGCATTGAGCCAACGGGTTTCCCGGACCTGCTCAAAGGTTCGGGTGGGTGGTTCGGCGGCGTTGGGGGATGCTCAGGTGTTCCTGCTGGATGGGAGGGAGAGAGAGGGGGCAGGGGAGGAGGTGGGGATCATAGAGATGAGAGTTCTTGAGGTTCTTGAAGGGAGAATGTCCAAGGCGGGTGGAGGTCTTGTTTCAGCGCGTGAGGATGATCATTGGCCAGACGAGTGTGGGCGTGGAGATGAGGTGGGAGAGAGGGACGAGCCGGCAAGCAGAGTGGGCGGTTGGGAGGACATGCTTGTGAGTGGGGATGGAAGGGACATGCGTGTGAGTGGGGATGGAAGGGACATGCGTGTGAGTGGGGATGGAAGGGACATGCGGGAAGGGGGTTGTGAAGAGAGTGTGGAGGTTAGAGTGGTGGTGGGGAGGGAGGAATCTTCCGCGATGCTGTTTTCGAAGTCTGGGAAGGAAGAGAGTGTGGAGAAGGGAGGGAGTGGGGGCAGTGAAGTGGGAGAAAGGAGGGGTGGAGAGAACGGAGAGGGGGCGGAAGGGAAGTGCAAGGCGGAAGCGATGGAGGAGGAGAGAATAAATGAGGTGCTGAATGAGAGCACGTGGACGTTTCTCTGGGACGGATTGAGCACCATCCTCAGAAGCACACTTGTACAGGTGTGCTTGTATGGGCTGTTAGGTGAATGGGTGCGTTTATGTGTGTGTCTGTGTGCCTGTGCCTGTGCGTGTGCCCATGTGTGTGTGCGCGTGTGTCTGTGTGCATGTGCGTGCTTGTGAGTGAGGGTGGCTTACCAGGTCCTGTACATATTCCCATCCACTTGCACAGCTGTGACATCACAGAACAAGACCCCTCCTATGTAAGGCTTGCTGTGCCCCTCCCCGTCAAGTCAACATCACATCTGAAATTATTATTTGCCCATCTTTTCCTGTCTCCCACCTTCGCCTGTGTCGCCCGCACACTCCCTCTTTCTCACCCCATGCAGCTCTCTTTCTTTCTCGTGCTCGCCTGTGCCACTTCTCTTGGAGTGCATGCCGTCGCAGCTCACCAGGTGTGCCCTCCCCTTCCTTGCCCTCCCCTTCCTCGCCCTCCTCGCCCTCCCCCTCCTCGCCCTCCCCCTCCTCGCCCTCCCCATATTCGCGCTCCCCGTTTCTACCCTCCCATGTTTCGACCCCCCCCCCCCGCCCTTCCCCTCCCCCCTCCCCCTTTCCTGTTCACCCTCCCTTTTCCCCCGCGTACTTTAATCTCCTTTAACCTTCCTGCCTTGCTTCATCCCCCTTCCACCCGCTGTTTTATCAACATCTTGCCAAAATATCAAATTAAGTTGCCTGTTTCTCCCTTCCTTTCTCTTCTATATCTTTCTCCCTTGGTTTTCCTTCTTTTTCTTTCTTTCCCTTCACTTCCCTTAGCTTCCCTTCCTTTCCCTTCCTTTCTCTTCCTTTCACTTCCATTCCTTTCAATCTGTGTCGCTTCCTTCCCTTACTTTCCCTACCTGTCCTTTAGTTTCCCCACTTGCCCTAACTTTCCCTTCCTTTCCCTTCCTTCCTCGATCGCCGTGCCCCATGCCCCATTCCCCGTGCCCCATGCCCCGTGCCCTGCGCCCCATCCCTGCTTCCCTCGCAGATCCTCATGCAGCTGTGGATGGTCAACATATACATCGCAGACGGCTTCGCCACAGCAGGCACCATTGTGGCCAGCAGCCTGGCGGGGCGCATGGCGCAGGCGCACACCAGGGGCGAGCATGCAGCGCTGCTGGCGGACCTGCGGCTCGTGTGCTGGCGCGTGCTGCGCATGGGACTGATTGCAGGTGAGGGGAAACAGGAGGGGAGTGAGTCAAAGGGCAGTTGAGGATTGTAGGTGCTGTAAGTGGCAGCAAGGATGGCACAGGCACACACCAGGGGGGGAGAATGCAGCCCTCCTGGCGGACCTGAGGCTCGTGTTCTGGCGCGTGCTGCGCATGGGACTGGTTGCAGGTGAGGTAGGGGGGTGGGGGGAGGTGGGGGGCGCGAGGGAGGGGTATGGGGGCAGGTGAGGGAGGGGGATGGGGGGAGGCGAGGGAGGGGGAGGGGGGGCAGGTGAGGGGGGCCTTTCAGGATGTGTATGTGCCATAAAAGGTATGGAAGGTGGAGCTTGTGAGCATGATGCACCACTGCGGGCAGACCTCAGGCTCATGTGCCGCTGTGGTAATCGGTGCACACGGGCCTTGATTGAGACTTCTCAAAAAACGCACACGAGCCTTGATTGATGCCCTTGTGGTGGTAGTAGGTGAGCATCTCAGTTATTCTTTCGAATCAGTTGAGATGCTCGCCTACCACCACCAGTTCCAGGCGTCCTCATCTCTTCAGCATACACATCGCTACAGCACCACATCACGGCGCCCTTCAAGTGTGACGAGGCCACTTAGGCAACCCTTTACCCACTCTCACCCTCTCTCACGCTCTCTCACCCTCACTCTATCTCCCCCCTCCCCTTGCCAGGCATCCTCATCTGCGCGGCCTACACAACCCTCCTAGAGCACGACATCAATTGTTCAATTCACATACGACGAGGCCACAAAGGCAACCCCTACCCTCTCTCTCCCTCCCCTTCCCGTTCGTCCCCATTTTCCAGGCATCCTCATCTGTGCAGCCTACACATCCCTGGAGCGCCACATCGTTGCCCTCTTCACGTACGATGAGGCCACCAAGGCACAGCTGAGGCACGTGTGGCTCTTGCTCGCGTTCATGCAACCACTCAACGCCGTGGTGAGTGAATGCAGTACTCTTCACGCACCCACCTCTCTTGTGACCATCCACTGATCTCTCCCAATGGATATTCCATCTCATTACCCATTTCCTTCATGCACCCTATCCCTCCAGGTATTCGTGTACGACGGTCTTATCTACACAGCTCAGGCCTCCAATTGTGGGCAGCATGCCCTACCAGCACACAATGCCCTACCAGCACACAATGCCCTACCAGCACACAATGCCTCTCATTCCCCTCTCCTCCTGATATCCTCTGCCCTCCATGCACCCTACCCCTCCAGGTATTCGTCTGTGAAAGGCTCATCTATGCGGCTCAGGCCTTCTCCTACACGGCGCAGTCCTTTTCCAACCTCCTTGGCCCCTCCATCCATCCTATCCGCCCTTCCAGGTATTCGTATACGATGGGCTCATCTACGCGGCTCAAGCCTTCCCCTACATGGTGCTGGTGTTTTCTAATCTCCCTTGCCCCTTCATCCATCTTACCGCCCACTCCTTCCTCCCTCCTCCAGGTATTCGTGTACGACGGGCTCATCTACGCGGCTCAAGCCTTCTCCTACATGGCAGCGTGCTTGGCCGTTGGCTTTTTCACGCTCTTCCTTCCTGCCGTCTGTAAGTGCCTTTCCCATCCGTTTCTTTGTGCTTCTCTCCTGCTAGCAATACCTGCAGTGCCAAATTCACCCTCTTCCCCTTCTGTTCGGTTTTCCCCTTTCTTTCCTTTTCTCTATTCTCCGCTTTCCATCCATCTCTTCCATTTCACCTGTTTCCCCCTTTTCTCTTCTTCTCCTCCTCCTTTTCCCTCTCCCCTGCAACCCTTGCAGTTTTCCCAAGCTCCTTATCACCAATTCCCTTGTCTCTTCCATATCCTCCTCTCTCCCCCATCCTCCCCTGCACATGCAATGCATTAGGGGTACTTCTAAGGCCATCCCATTCCCATCCCCCCCTCTCCCCCCCCCCCCCCCCCACCCCCCCCCTCCTGCACCTGCAGCACTTGCCTTCTTCCACTTCAAGACCCTTCCCTCCGCGTGGGTAGCGATGGAGGTACTTTTGTGGCGCCTCAAAAGTTCCCTCTGTCTCCTTCCGTCCCTCTTATTCTCCCCCATCCCTTCCCCCACACCTGCAGCGCCTGTCTTCTTCTACTTATCGAATTATTGACTTCTGAGTCGACTTAAAAGATTACTCCTCCGTCTCCTTCCCTCCCCGCCCTCTCCCCTCCCCGGCCTGCGCCTGCAGCACTTGCCTTCTTCCACTTCAAGACCCTTCTGGCCGCGTGGGCAGCAAAGGGGGTGCTTAACGCGTTACGTTTCGCAGTCGCGGGATACAAGATCCACTTCGACTTCCTCTGCCCTGATGCATCGCACCTCCCACCTGCACCGCCCACCAACCCTCAATCCCACAACAAGGCACCTCGTCAACCTTTCACTGATCCATCCCACAAGGCGTATCACAAGGCACCACCCCAACCATCACCCTACCCAGCCCAGAGACCACCCCTTCCTCCACAGCCCCCTCATGTGATTCAACAGAAGAGAGCATCACCCCCCCAGTTGCCGAATCCTCTCAGAGCACAGGACACACCACGGCCTCTGCAGTCTGGATACCCTCTTGAGTCTGCACCGTGCTCCCAGTCGTACCAAAGTTCCACTCGAGAACTACCTCCTTGAAAGCCTCCCCAACCGCTCATGCTACTCATCTCCTCGTTACACCCATGACCAGTCCTGCTGCTGCTCCCTGGTGCGAGTACCTCCTCGCACCGGACACGACCACTTGACGAGCAGCTTGTTGGCAAAGCCGATTTCCGAAGATCGTTGCCAAGTTACTGTACGGTACATACCAGTAGGTTAAGAAGTGCCCGTCACAAACCGTAGCATGAAACTTGCAATTGTTTTATGCAGTGCTTGTTTTGAAATGAAAACCAGATGCATTTCTGATTAGCATGTTTTAACATAGTATTCATGCCACTCTGTTCACGCCTAAAGGTCGTTGTTTGTGACCAATCACCCCTACCTCCAAAGGGTGAGCACGCTACATTCTCACCTTCCTCGGCGATGCTACACGTATAAGTGGGTCAACCTTCTCAAGGACAAGAGCGCGACTTCTACGACAAACAAGAAGTGGGTGGCGCTTGTTGAGACGGAGAAAAATGGACGACTCGTAAACCGGATTCGGTCGGATGGAGAAGGAAAGTACGTGAACAACGAGCTCGACGGGTGCTTCAAAGCGCGAGGAATCTTCCACAAAGTGTCCGTTTTTCTACTCACCTCAACAAAATGGAGCGTCAAATGTTGATATTTTGTGATAGGTTGTAGTGAGGTGCTCCTTGGTGAGTACAACTCGATTAGGGTTTGCCATTTGTACCTCACACATTCCTAACCATTGCGTTCATAATTTGAGATGGTATCACGAGTAGGTTTGTTCCTCGTTACTTCCTAGCCCGTGCCCACTCTAGGGCACCTCTGCGCCCTCCGCGCCTTGGCCTCCGCGCCCTCCACGCCCTCCGCGCCCTCCGCGCCTTAGCCTCCGCGCCTTAGCCTCCGCGCCCTCCGCGCCTTAGCTCCCTCCTCCTCCGCGCGTCAGCGCCCTCCGCGCCCCTAGCCCGCGCCGTCGCGGACCTCCGCGCCTAGCGCCCTCCACGCCCCTACCCGTCGCCCCAGCCCGCGCCCTAGCCCGCCACCCCAGCCCGCGCCCTAGCCCGCCCCCTCCGCGCCCCTAGCCCTAGCGCGCCCAACCTCATGAAGAGGACGATAACGGTGCCCGGCACGCGGGAGTTACTCGACGAGGACTCAATTACTAGCTACATCCTTCAAGGTGAGGCTATGCAGGAGGCAGATCAGTTCGCGGAGCTCCTTCCGCAAGCGAGTTACGCTGCACCGACGAAGCAGAATCGTCAGCAGGGGCAGCGTGGAAAGCCTGGCGGAGGTGGTAGCGGAGGTGGGAGGTCGGCGAAGGACGCCGACCGGGTGAAATCATCTCGTAATAGTGGTCGCGGCAATGGTAGTCGACGGCACGAGTGCTGGGTCTGCGGAAGCGCCGACCACCTCTCCTATGACTCCCCGGACCGAGAAGACACTGACGACGATAACCACAAGGGAGGTCGAGGAAGGTCGGCCAACGGTCGTCAAAGTCGGGACGAGAAGTTGCGCAAGGAGAAGCAAACGTCAAAGAAGATGTCGTCGACCTCTAGCGGCAAGGGGCAAGGTGCCGGAGAGGCTTCGTGCTCAATGGTCGGCGCGGTGGAGCAGACTGTTTTATTGGCCCTAGAGGCTGGCGAATACTTCAAAGCGGACGCAGCAGCTGTGCAGGCGAATCCGATGGTGGTTCTGCTCGACAGTGGTTGCTCGCACCACATCATGGGGATGAAGGAGGCCTTCGTCGATATGGCCCCGAGTGGCAATGTGAAGCATGTGATTGGCATCAACGGGGCTCTGCTGACCGCCGAGGGATGAGGCACCGACGTGCTCTACGTCCCGGGCGTGCAGGCGAACCTGCTGTCAACTGGTCAGCTGAAGGAGAATGGTGTGCTGCTGCAGGACGACTGCGATGAGATGATGCTCGTCAACGCGACCGGGGAGGTGCTCGGTCGAGCACGCTATACCGGCCGCATCCTCTGCACCAACCTTCAATCTTGCTCGACAAAGCTGTCATCGAAGTCGACTGAGGTGGTGGCTCTGCGGATGATTGCATCGGCGACGAAGTCGACGCCGCCCAGGTGGCACGCAAGGCTTGCGCACGTTGGCATTGACACCATCAAGAGCTCGGCGAAGCACAGCGTTGCCACTGGCCTGGACATCAAGCCGTCAACGGGGACCGATTTGCCGTGCGTCTCCCATGTAGGCGGAAAACTTGCGCGGCACACCTTCCCCGACAAAGGTTCGGGGGAAAGCTCTGGCCGTCGTGCACATCGACCTGTGCGGACCGTTCCGGGTGGCCGCCAAGGATGGCAGCCACTACTTCCTCCTGCTGAAGAATCAAAAGACTCGTTACATGTGGGTGAGGCCGGTCGCCAAGAAGAGCGACGTCCTGCACGTGTTCGAGCAGTGGCTGCTGGTCGTGGAGAGGCAAACCAAGAAGTCGGTGATGATGCTCCGCTCCGACCGCGGAGGCGAGTTCCTGGGGAAGGACTTCACCAAGTTTGTCAACGGCGAAGGAATCGTTCACGACCTGACCTGTCCGTACACTCCGCAGCAGAACGGCATGGCGGAGAGGGAGATGCGTATGGTCGTTGAGGCCGTGCGAACGATACTGCTGCACATGGGCGTGCAGCACCACTGGTGGCATATCACCCTGCGACAGGCCGCCTGGGTGCGCAACTGCTAGAGAGGGGGAAATGGCGGAGAAAGGGGGAAAGGGAAGGGGAAGGACGGGGGAGTCCGTCGCATAGTATATAAAGCCGTGCTTGCGGCTCACTCTACCACATACTCGCCTGTGCTGCGTTGCGAATCACCACTCCTTCTCAAGACAGCTACCACCCCTAGTTTGCGCGGAAAAGCCTTCTTTGATTCCTACATTGTTTCACGGACGTCTCAAGTAGTACGCGGCCCGCCTCAAGTGCAATTTTTGCTTCCCAGCCGACTTCTCCCACCACCGAGGGACTGCCGCCAGCTCATTCATCCCCAGCATCACACCAACGCCACACCAGCGGCATCAGTGGCATCAGCATCATGGGTTTGCGTGGCCTCGTGCTCGCTGCACTGGCTGCTCTCATGCTCTCAGGTATGCTCTCATGCTCTCAAGACCTTTTTCTGTACTCTTCACCTTTGCATTGTTGTCCTCTTACCTCCCCCCTCCTGATTTCCTCTTCCTCCCTCTCCCCTCTTCCGCTCTCCCCCCTCCCCCTGCGCGCCAGCCTGTGCGCCCATGGCGGAGACCATCCGCCTGCCATCGTCTGGGGTCTGCCGGTGGGGCCAGGACAGGGACGCATCCGGCAACTGCGTTGGTGAGTGGTCCATCTCTCTCCCCCTCTGCTGCGCAGCATTCCGAATTCTCGACTCGTGCCTGCATCCGCTGCCTTCGAAATTTTCCCTGCGTGCCTGCCCAGAGTCTCTTTCCCCGTTCCTCCTGCCTGTGCCTTTCTTACGCCTGCCTCCACGTGTCACCTGCCTGCCCTAGACATGTGTGTGTTGCGCAACTGCGGCACCAACTCGAGGTGTCTCAAGGACGAGGCGGGCTGGGCCAACTGCGTGTGCCTCAAGGGCTTCCAGCTGCTGCCCAACGCCTCCTGCGCCCGTACGTTCTGCCCCCAGAGAAAGCCAGACTCACCCCTGCATGTGCGTCGCTCTGCGTCTACCCACATCTGCAAATGCCGCTCTGCATTGCACCTGCTCTGCAGACTCTGCGCCGATGGTGTGCGATGATGTTATCCCAGTGCCTCGTCAAGTGTGTGTATCGATTGCTCTCTACCCACCGTCCATCATCCCCACCCACCAGACTCGCGCGCGATCATGGTGTGTGACCCCAACGCCATGCTCGACTCAAAAGTCACCTGTGCCTTGCACTGCATCTACCAACCATATGTGAATCCCACTCTGCAGACTCGTGCGCGATCATGGTGTGCGACCCCAACGCCATGTTCGACTCAAAAGTCACCTGTGCCTTGCGCTGCATCTACCAACCATATGTGAATCCCACTCTGCAGACTCGTGCGCGATCGTGGTGTGCGACCCCAACGCCATGTTCGACTCAAAAGTCATCTGTGCCTTGCGCTGCATCTACCAACCATATGTGAATCCCACTCTGCAGACTCGTGCGCGATCGTGGTGTGCGACCCCAACGCCATGTTCGACTCAAAAGTCACCTGTGCCTTGCGCTGCATCTACCAACCATATGTGAATCCCACTCTGCAGACTCGTGTGCGATCGTGGTGTGTGACCCCAACGCCTCGTGCGTGAAGGAGGAGGACGGCCTCGCC